CCTGGCAAACTATATTTTCGTAGGGCATGTGTGACATGAATGTGACAAACTGGTATTCAAGACAAATGACAGTAACATCTCCCTAATTCGTCATGACGCTGTTTGATGCGAACACATGAAAGGAACACATCAGGGCGAAATTCTAGCACACTGTAGCTAACAGCATAGCACATAGGTTGATAATATTTGTCTTTTCTGATGGTTCAAATATGCGCTGAGATGTGCCCCATGTGACTTTGCAAGTAATAAGAAATCTTTGTAAGCAAAATCACAAAAGATTGAAACTGGCCGATTCTGAGACGTTTAATACTGCTACGTTTGGCAAATCTTTTTCAAGTAACGTTAAAATATGAAATGATAAGTCTTTTCTGAACTACACTCTGCTGCCTGAACCAATGCCTGTGTCGCGTCTTAGCGTGCGAGCCTCTAAGAGCAGCTCACACCGCCGGGTTGTCAAAGCGGGCCTAGAAGCATAAATCTTTGACGATGTCGTGCTGCAATATTCGCTGAGGTTCTCGACCAACTTCGAGAAGCCGCATCTCTGCAGAATAGCGAAATATGCCTTAACTTTCAATGACAAGATTCGAATGAAGCAGAGCCCTAACTGCTGAACGTGTCGGAATCCAGACAGTGCGGCACACCGCCACCTGTCTTCGTGATCTCAATACGAAACTCAATAAAGTAGAACTAAAGGTGTGGTAGGATGTCTGGACAACCGGTTATTTTTTGTTGGGGGATGCACTGGGTGCGTGAAGTGTCGAGCATCACGTGCACACCATAATAAAATTCGTGTTTTTTTACCAATGTGAACGTTAAGATTCTTGTTTCTAGAGTATGCGTTAATTTGGCTGGCCTGCATGTAGTTTGGAACACATACTCAAGCACTCAACAACTTGCATGCGCTAATAGCCACGTCTCATCATACCTGAATCTATCCCTGTCTCGCCTTTTTCACCCTAGGCCTGTGAGAAGTAGCAGGCTGAACACATGCCCTCATGGACGATCTGTTCTTTTTTTATTTATCATTATCGATTTCCTCTGTCTACTACGGAAGGCTTATCATATACACTTATCAGCACAATCCTTGAAGCCCACGAGCTATCTACTTCGTTTCTGTAGACTCACGTGGGAAGGAGCACGTTAAGCTGAACTTCTCTGGTTTTGGGACGTTAAACCCCACAAATCAATCAAGCTGAACTTCTCGGCTTGTGGATTCCTTTTGAAGTGGGCTTATATTTCGATAATAGAAAAATAAACAAAAAATATCTATCGAAAAATACCAGGTGTTAGGCGAGATACGCCCTCCTCCCCCGCTGCCCCCCCAAAAAAATATTCTTTCTTTAGCCCGTTTCCTGAATGTTAGTTCGATGTGGTACGCAAGAAATTTGTAGGCAGGTATCATGACGTTTGCGTTACTATTGAGACAAACGTAACGCGTAAAATGGGTGCACGAAGAAGTGCGGAAGGTTCTTTTCATAACGGAAAGTTATTCTGATATTTATTTTAATGTTGGGGGCCATGGCTACCCATTTTCAAAAATAAACCACTTGGCGGCGAGTAAAACAACAAACTGGAAGTGATACAGGTGCACTGGCGAAACCAGTGCGGGAGGGGTCAAATCTCTTTATCGACCCTTGGAAGTTTTTCAAGTTTGCAAGTGTAAATTTACAGCTACACATACAAGCACGCACAAGTATACATTTATTATGTTCCACCACCCCAAAATAATTATGGCTAGGCTACTAAAAAGATGTGCTCCTTGAAGCGGTGAACCATAAAGACGTACCGAAGTGGTACTTAAGCTACGTGGTTCGACAGTCGCGTTTCTGAGCTATTTATGTTCCTGACCTACTCGATCCATCCTCCAATATTTTGTTCACTTACTACACTTCACAAGCTGTTTACATCACGAGCCTCTCTCGGTTTACCTCGAGTTATGGATCCATTCCGTCGCGCCATTCTACTTTCACGATGAACGCACGAAGCTCTGGTTTTACTCAAGACTCCGTTCTACGTTGCAGTTTTTTGGTTTTTTTTTTTTTGCAAAAATAGTGAATGATGCGCCTTCGGAATACAATGGTACGGTTGAAATAAAAGCACGAGATTGAGACGCTGACGTACAATGGAAGTAGATATCAAACGGAAGCGGAAGCTTGAGGTTACGCAGTGTAGGGTATAATATCATTATTGTTGCAAAAGTATAACATTTTCGTCAATTGAAATATATATAATACACGCTATGTATACATTATACTATAGAGCCCCGGTTTTCGTGTTATATATATGCTACATAGACCAGAAAGATACCATCCGTTGATTTCTGAAATGTACGTTCTTTCATGATTGAGGCCTTAGAACGCATAAATATCAGATGATGAATGATGATTGTACGCGTGCAACAAAGTGTGTAACAGAATAAACGGTATATAATTTAGCTGCCAAAATGCTTTACACAAGGCACGACTGCGAGAGCATCAATCATTTTCGTCTACCCCGTCCTTCAGCTGTATTGTTTAGTACCTCCGCTTCTCCGAGCCGAAACGTCGGCGTCTTGAAACTTGTCCCGAGGACAAATATTGAAACATTGACGTATCAAGACACCGACAGATATATTACGACCTTTAGCCATTACCGCCAGATAATGGCTAAAAGTCTTAAGGCACTAAATGTTTCTAAAATGTACTGGGCCTGACGTCATAATTATGTCCCAAATACAGACTTTCTTATTTCTGAAAATTTTATTAGACCGAAAAATCTTTGAAGTGATTCTTAACAACAAATTGAGGCTATCAACTCTTCGCCATCGACACACCTATATGACAGGCTTTACAAATGCTCGTCATATCTCTCACAGCTTTTCAGCGAGAAATATGGTCAGAGAAAACTGTAACGCCTTCACGCGTTCACGGCTAATACTACAAACTCCGCTTCTCGCGTTGCTTGAGCGTTGTCGGTGCATACATGGACAGAGGTGTATGATTGATTGATTGATTGATTGATTTCTAATTGGTGTTTAACATTTCAAAACCACCTTATGAGCACACGGGCCTACAGCATTTCCGCCTCCATCGGAAATGCAGCCGCCGCCGCCGAGATTCGATCCCGCGACCTGCGGGTCAGCAGCCGAGTACCTTAGCCACTAGACCACCACGTCGGGGCTAAACAGAGATGAAGGTTACCCGATTACTGACCTTGACAGTAATAGGCTAAGCATGCAATTTTCCCCTGAATTGACACTTTGAATTAGTTTATGACTAGTACCGGCGTTTATTACATGCTTGTCTATGATATCTTTGTAGAACATTCACCATATCCTGTATCCAAGTGTATCATAACTACTTACAGCGTATCTTAACTGCACAAACGTTTATTTATGATGGTACACGTTCATAGATGCGTTGGAGATGTGCAAACTGGTTTTATTCGAGTAAAACGGTGTGATAGCTGCGATAAGAAGTAGACATTGTGCAGGCTGTCATATATCAATGCATAATAAATATTCAACTACTTCTGTAAGGACACGTTTCTCTTACGTATCATATCAAACCTTCATTGCCGGTCTATAAAGAGTGTTAAAGAAGGCCGTCAAAAGGGAGTTTAATTATGGCTCAGGATGTATAACAATATTGAAGTGACAGCTCTGTATTTTTACTCGTACATCCTACATGATGAAACAAGGATTTCGCTGACAAGGTCACTTCGAATCGTCGAGGCGCTATAGGCATATTTGCTGTAAGGTCATGCTTCCAATACTCTTTATTTTGTCAGACATACTATATACATAAAAGTGTTTTAGCTTCTTTTGATTGCATCGTTACAAAAAACTGCAGTATTGGGATCTGTGTCAGTTTGTGAATCTCTTAAAACGCATTGACAGTAGAGTCAAGTCTAGTGCACCTTGAAATGCACGTGGCTGCACTGTCTAGCGCGACAGTGCTGCGGAGCGCGTGGTCACAGGTTCGAATTTCGGTGGCGTATTTTTTTCTTCAGGTGTATTTATTTTTTGTGGCTTTTTTTTGATCTGTGTATCCTGGACATGACGGGGATGGCGAAGGCAATTTTTTTAGATCACGCATATGATTGTCATCTCGTTAACATAACTGACAGTATAAAGCAGCCACTAAGTACACCTCAAGCACGGCAACGCGCACCTAGTCACAAACTTCAGCCGCTATAAAAACAGCTAGACAGACAACAGTTCCGCACTGGAGCAATTACAAACATGAGGTGTCGCTGGTGCGAATAGTTCGATAACTGGCACTGTCCTGTTTAAGGCTGCAACTTGTAGCCTTGAAGTCATCGAGACCACATGTCCAAACGTCGGCGTCTCATTGTTTCCGGACAACTTGAAGCATTTAAAACACTTGCAAAAGTTAGCTGCGTGCTGGAGAGAAGCTGGTATCCCATCATTGTACAATAAAAATAGAACTGCCGTCTACATGTTCAGTTACGTGTTCCGCAATATTCAATATTATTAGCTGATGTTTTCATTCCCGATACCAAACACTATAGTGGAGAGCAACAGAACTGTCTGCCGTCCGGTGTTTTCTATACCCAAATCTACTTACATGGGAATCTAGTATATCATCGTCATTGAAATGCGACCCCCGCAGCTGGGATTTGATTGCGTGAACTACGGGTCAGCAGTTGAGCTATATAACCACTAGAGAATAATGTCGAGTTTTTATGCTTCGCATGTGACCTCTGTAAAAAAGTAGCAATAAAACTTTCTGAAATCTCAGTTTGTATGCGTATAGAGTGAAAGCCAAATGCGGGAAATAAAATGATGCTGCGGCCAGGCACCTAGCACAAAAAATAAAAAAATAAAGATGACGTGAGAGATCGAGAAGATGCTTTGAAGGAGCCTCTGTATTAACATTCACCGCGCAAACGCAGCTGTTTCTGCACACGATTTCGTCCACCCACATTTAACTACGTACACGCACCTTTGAAGTGTTAGCTTTCCGGACGACTCCTTCAAGGCAAAGAACATTGCTACATCCACTCTCTTCGCTGGCACTCTGTATAATCAACACGTGACTCTTCAAACTTGGTGCCTTAGTGAGCGAGTGCTCGCGCAATTAATTTCGTATATCAAAAGCGAAATGCAAAACATACTGGTGGTGGGACTGGCGATGATCGCTGTATCGTCGAGTCAGGATTGCGAGGATAACAACGGCAAATACTTCGCCTTCCACAACATTACCCTCGTAGGAGACGAGACGACGTACCCGTGCCTGCAGTGTTTCGCTCCTCCCTGTGAAGGAGATGAACAATCGATGACACCCCTGACTGCAACGCTGAAACTTTGCTGCAGAACATGTTCCCGGGTGATGGGTGAGTAACCGAAACACACTAAGTCCGGGGCCCTCAATCTCCTAGGGCCGCAGTCACAAAACTTAGCCTCCCGCAAAGGCCGGGCTGGAAGCGGATGGAGGAGAGGGGGTGTTGAACGACGTGTCATTTATTATTATCAATTTAAATAAGCAGTTTCCTAATAATTATGCACGAGTCAGTTCTGAAGACGATTTGAGAAGGAGATTAGAAAAACATTCATACTGGTCTGCAGAATGACTGATATCAGAACAGCAATTCCAATGAGTATAGTTTGTTTCATGGTTATGTTTCAACAATTGGTGACCGTATGGAATGAATCCATTAAAAATACATGTTTGAAACGAGTCGAGACTCTTAATATCATGAAAAATCTTAATAAATAAAAAATTTTACCATCTGCCACAGAAGGATACCATGTGAAGATGCGAAGCAGCGGGCGCTAATGCTCACACTGGCCTTGACGCTGGCGCTCATTGAGTCGTGGCGCAGGAGAGAAACATGGCGAGGCGCTAAGCACGCAGTGATGAATCGTTGTTTTCTACTGGAACACGCAAATCACTGCTAACGGAAACTGAGAGACAGAGGACTCTGAGCACAGAGACCTGCAGTCCGCTTTTAGTTAACGCGCGTGCTGCGAAGTTTTTATTGTTCAACATCGTACAGGAGAAATCTCCAATCGGCACTACCTTGAAGCTCAAGGTCCAGTATCTATATATACAAGGTGGCCAGTGAACGGTAGTGCAGAGCGAGCATACGGTTTTTTCAATTAAAAAAAAAAAACCCTCGCTAGCAGACGCTGCTTGCGTTGGCGTTACGAGGTGGGAGAAGGGGGTAGGTTAAAAACGAGAGAGAAGAGAGAGGGGACGCGCGTGCGCAGGGGGGGGGGGAATGCAAACGTCGCTGGCGACCTCTGGTAGGGATGCCTACAGGAGAGAGAGAGGGAAAGGCGCGCATGCGCTGTAAGAGTGGTCACGCCGCACACCGGACTGAGCTTGACCATAAGACGCTTAGCATCTAATTTTCGATGAAATAGTCATGCTCGCGCCGCCCGCTTAGTACATCTGCTCCAAGTAGAGTGGTGGATTGATTGGTACAGTGCGTGGAGTGAAGAAAGTGCCAACTCATCGAGCAACTGCTGCGACAGTTTTCTCGCATTTGAAAAGGCGCGTTATATATTGTGCTTTCAAACGTCCGTGTAATGTTTTATGTCTTAGTAAGAATTCTTGCTGTATACATATAGCATACAAACACGCGACAAGCTTACACGTGCACACAATCAAAGAAAAATTAATCTCAGAGGGTTCGTTATCCAAGGTAACAGCCATTTCAGGTGGCTGTTTTACCACCCACTAAATGTCAGTATCCCACGATCTCTAACGGAGCGTTAATAATTCGTTTTGAATTGGGCAGGCCAAGAACAAGAACTGGAGAAGTAATACACATCACCGATTCCAACTTGCCGAAATGTAAAGTTTTCTTGGTTATTCATGCAACTGTCACAAACTGAATCACAAATAAGTTAATTTCGAAATAATCATATATACAGAGACGAAACACTGTTTAAAGATGCGACAAACATACTGAAATTTCTTCTTTTAGTCGGGAACTTCGTCAAATCGAGAAAGGATTTTTTTTGTTCATTCAATTTGTAAACGATGAATTCTAGAAACCAACCACCATGCGGTACGTAAGAGCGCTACATAATATTGTTAAATGCAGAGCGCCTTCTTCCATTTGCCCTCGTGGCATAGAGCCTCGCCAAAATAAAGCGAGGGCCATGAATCGGGTGCCGAAAGTGTAGACGTGGACATTCACATTCCCCTCGGTTCCCTTGGCGGAGCCCTGCTGTCCTATGACGTATAATGTTCATGCCGTCTACTGATCCGAAGTGCGATAGTGCCGTTTCTCTGACAAAGGCTCAAATAAGTATGGCAAAACTTGCAGTTGTGCAACTGGAATACGATAGGTAAATTAATTACCAACAACCGGGTAATATACGTGAACAAGTGTCTCTCGTATTTTCAAACGTGGCCTTCGTGACCAACTAGTGACGCGCCGTTGTCGTCACTAATCGAGGAGGCCATGCTTAAGCAGGTTTCGTGGAAGACCACATTGCAGATAGCGTGCCGTTCTAGATAACTTGGCATACCAAAAATGATGTCAGTTTTTGCACAGCGTCTCCGGTAGCCCCGTGGTCACAGCCTCTTTCTTTTTTTTAGCCCCCCAAAAATGCTGTTCACGTTCCCTTTTGAGAAATTTCACATCACTGAATTCAGAGAGAATCACACTTTTTACGCCCTCTAAAGTGATTTTGTGAGTGCTTCTGCTTCAATTTTCAACAATTTCGCCTAATTAATAGCTTGAATCCTGTGCACTAGAGGATGACTAATCCTTACTTTGTTCTTCCATTACATCGCCGATTTTCAGAGAGTGGCGCTGCATGTAATCTTGAGCGAACCGAGCCGGCTGTTGTCTGTCAGGAGAACGACATCTGTAGCACCACCAAGAGGGTCTGCGTGGAAGAATGCATCATCCCGCCTCCATCAACTTTTTACTGAGGGCTACTTTCCGTTTCAAGAAAATGCGCGTGGGTAGCAGCTACCAGGCATCCTAAAACCAGCCAGAACAAAGCAAGATTGATGTGGATATCCACATTTACTGTATTTTGCGAGCTTTCATAAGTAAAGAAATTTTATTGAACTGTGAAAGATTCCTTTGTTTACCTATCATTTTTGTTACTTATTTTGTGAATGTTCAAGGACGCGCAGCGCAGGAAGAAGTGGTTTACTGTCTGTGTCCGTAGCACTTGCCTTTCTAAACTTGTCACTTGCTCACTGGCATCACAAGGGAGATTTCACTCATTTATCTCGCTCGGGTGCCAGGCCAAGTGTGAATTCGGGAAGGATAAGATATATGATTAGTCATGAAGCGAATAAATGCCGCAGTAAAGCACGTTGAGCAGTCGTATTTAACGATTCATAACCTAATGAATTACACAGCACGGAATACAGCCCAATACATTTGAAAAACACACACGGACAAAACCTGCGAGTTTGTGTGTGCTTCTTTAAGTGTTTACTAATATTGTTAAGATTTAACGTCCTAAAATCTCCACATAATTATTAGAGAAGCCACAGTGGAAAGCTCCGGAAATTTCGACCACCGAGAGTTCTTTAACGCTCACCTAAATCTAAGCACACGGGCCTGAAGCATTTCCGCCTCCATCGAAATCGCCGTCACCACGGCCGGAATTCAACCCCACGACGTGTGGGTCAGCAGCCAACTTGAACTGTTGAGTCTTGTACTGTGACCGATGCACTGTGCGATTTCATTATAGTTATGAAACAAGATCCACTAGCCTGTTTTTTTATTTTTGTTGCTCGCAAGTTTCAGACGAAGGTTACCAAATAGGTGCATCGCATGCATGTTTTGCGTGCATCTGGGGTGCTGCAAAACCTGAGCTGTGAATATTTTCAGGTTCCCCACAGACAACGGGCGAGCGCAGGTACTTCTGTGCATTAGTTCATCAGGTATTCATTTTGAATGAGTACGTGAGTAAATCAAATTATCGGCAAACGTGACTAGACTGGCGCAAGCGCTGTGTTGCTAGACAAATTCGTGATGAAGACCGTAAGCCTGATGCCAATGAAATACTAGTAATAAAATATTTCAGCTAGTATTAATTCGGCTACCCATTTTGTGGATCTTTTACTTTTTGCATGCATTTTAAAAGATACACGAGAATTATCGGCCCTTTCTTGTTTGTGGGAAGCCAGTATGAAACTGTGATAATTTACTTCTAATAGCGTCGTTGTACATAAAACTTGTGCAAACAACTACACACGATTGAGTAGAATAAGGGACAACCAGCATGTGATTGTGAATAGCATTCCTATTAGTTGCGATATTCTAGAATCAAATAATATATTCCTCATTATGTACGTATTTCAATTGTGAATCGAAACTGCGTTTGGCGATTGACTGGTTCGCATATAGTGTATGACCCTGTTTTTGATCACGATACACGAGACTAAAAAGAAACGTTCAAATTTTACTTTTGTGGACCTAGCTTTGTTTCACTGAGAAATCCGCTAGCTTTAGTTTTTCCGCTTCGCAAAGCCGGGAAAAAAAACTAACGAAAAATGATGAAGCAAACCTAATGAATGGCCACGTTCATTGAGTGGCCAGCGGACCTGCAGAAAAGCCCGAACACATCCCTATTGCTTGCGAAATGGGAAAGGACGGCCACCACAGAAATCTTGCGCTTTTCTACTTCACTCCTTTTCCTTCTATTTTAGAACATCAACAACGTCACAAAAGGAATTTTTTGTTTGTGAAATATTTCTAGTTTCATACTCGGCAGCCGCCATTGATGAAAGTGACACTGCCACAGGGTTATAAGCATGCAACTGCGTGTCCGATGGGATACGATGGATAATAAGATGGATGAGCCGCATGCTTGTGAGGTGGTGCTTTAACACATTTCATGGCCATTCCACTTCATTGTGTGCCTGTTGAGAAGAGGAAGGGATATATTGTCACTAGAACTTTATGAATTTAATTAAGGCAGCTGGTATGTGAACGTCATCTTTTTTTTTTCTCACTCGAGCGCATACTGAGCCCCCTCTCCTTCTGTTCGAAAACTTTCTGCTCCCCAACGTGGTTTCGCATGGGCTCTGCGATGAGAGGCATGACCAAGTATATGCACCTCACCCGGTTTAGTATTGCCTCCGTGATTAGCTCACTGTTGTCCAAGTGACAGTGTCGTGTCATGTCATGTCATCGTAAGACGTAACCGGAAGGTCGCATAACAGACGTCTTGATGATGTCAAGTTCAGGCGATTTGTGACGTTCTGGCGGCATCACAATGTGACTCCATCATGTGATGATTTTTTTCATCATGATTGTTGACACCCCCCTGTGGTTTGCGGCAGTGACGGTAAAATACTTCGTGTTTGAGGTATCTGATGTTTGAGGCTACCCCTTGAGTGTTAGTGGTAAACTATTATTCATGGTTTGAGTGTGCCTGCTGATAGTCCTCATTGTTATCCTCATCTCATTCTTGGTCTAGTTACTTGAGTAGGAGGGCCTGGCTTTGCTGTCGCTACCTGTAGTAAATAGACGTCTTTTTTTTTACCACTTACCTATCCGCTGTGGTCTTCTCAATATGTTTCACAATATTTCAGTTTTCTGCGTACCCATTTTTAGACTAATAGATCTACTACTTCGTCCAATAATTTCAAGCTTGTCCCCTGGGATACTTATTAACGGAATGTCATTTGAGCATCGCAGGTTACTAACGTGCTCTTCCTTAACTATTATCCCTAGCTCTCCCTAATTTAGGGCCCTGGAACTTCCTGTAACCCCGTAGAAAGATCATGTGTGCCTGTTTTACGCCCTTTTATATTGGGTTTTCGTCTATTTCCTTATCGAGGACTTGTGCTGGCTGTGGAGCCACTGTAGATTTACAAATATACAAATTATGTTGACAAAATTATCTACGCGTTGCACAATATTAAATAATAATCATTGGGGTTCTAAATTCTTAGCTCAGCATGGTATTATGAGGAGGCCATGGCGGAGTGCTCTGGAACTGTCTACCATCTGGCGTTCCTTAAACCTGAACCTAGGTACAGAGGCCTCTATCATTTTGCCGTCATGAAAATACGGCCGTCGCCGCGGGAATTCGATTGCGTGACCTACCGGTCAACATGCATGGACCATAACCACTTGCAACAATGGCGAGTTTTCATATTCCACATGTTGGCCTCGTTAAATAGCAGCAATAAAATCTTTGATATAAAGTTTGATTGATTGATTGATTTGTGGGGTTTAACGTCCCAAAACCACTATATGATTGTGAGAGACGCCGTAGTGGAGGGCTCCGGAAATTTTGACCACCTGGGGTTCTCTAACGTGCACCGAAATCTGAGTACACGGGCCTACAACATTTCCGCCTCCATCGGAAATGCAGCCACCACAGCCGGGATTTCATCCCGCGACCTGCGGGTGAGCAGCCGAGTACCTTAGCCACTAGACCACCGTGAAGGGGCGATATAAAGTTTCTGTACATTTAAAGTGAAAGCTAAATGTTAGTGTCGAAGCACCTCATGGTCTATGTTTGTCGTCATGTCATGTAGTGACAGCATGTAATGTCATTACGGTACATCATAAACGGTACATCATAAACGGCGAGATAGAGCTACGTCGCATAGGAAGGAAGAAGATTACCACTGAGGGGAGATTTGCGACGTCATCAGTCACACGAGTTCTGTCACAAACTCATGAAACAAGTCTATACGATGCCAGCATCTCGTTTCGTCACTGTGTGTTAGTAGAGCTTAACGTCCCAAAACCACCATATGATTATGAGAGACGCTGTAATGGAGGGTACCGGAAATTTCGACCACCTGGGGTTCTTTAGCGTGCACCCAAATCCGAGCACGTGGGACTCAGCATTTTCGCCTCCATCGAAAATGCAAACGCCACATCTGGGATTGGATCCCGTGCCCTGCGGGTCAGCAGCCGAGTAGCTTAGCCAATAGACCACCGCGGCGGGGCACGGTGTGTCATGTGGTCACGGTCGATCGTAAAAATGTGTATACGCACTGCATAAGTTGGTCCACTCCTCTTACTTGCCACCGGCCCGCTAAAGATGGAGAAGGGAACAGCTAGCCGAACAAATAGCTGACGACGTCAGTTGAAACACCCTTCCACACAAGCCGTATATAGGGAATTGAAACAGAGAATGTAGGGAAGAGAAGGAAGAAAAAAAAGGCGTGCGTTAGAGAGCTGCATACAATGTAGTAGCCCGAGTATCCAAAGCATGGCCGGAGCAAAACTTCCTCAAGATCTAGGCACTGGGACTATAGGACTCTATTAGCCATAGTCTTGAGATAGGGAATACCCACGCCCTGCGTGGCCCGTGACTTTCCGCACGCCAGATGCGCAAATAAATGTTTCTCTCTCTCTCTCCAACGTAGCTGTGGGCGATGTTAGTTGAGTGGAAACATGGTTCTCTCTACGCCCGCTTTCAGGCTTGGCACCAGCGGTGCCTCATTACGAAAATCTCTCAAAACGCTGCATGCTTGCTTCGCCCCTCCCCAGGTTTCACGTTAACCTGCGCTGAAACGCCCTTCCCTACAAGCTGCAGTACGTTTTTGAACGAAGGAAGCATCTCGTGCGAAAAAGAGAAACGCAGCCAGGGATAAAGGCCGAGCTTTAGTGAACATCTGTATTTTTTTTTTACAGCAAACGCGCACATTCCATTGTCTCCACACTCGAATCCACCCATTCACTTTTCACGCCATTTTCACGCTTTTCAAGTGTAAGCTTTACGAGCGACTCCTTTCAGGCTGAGAACGTTTCCGCATATGCTCTGTTCGCTGAAGACCTATATTCAGAGTGTTTTAGTGAAAAAGAAAGCCAGCACGTCAGACTATTTTACTCGGTGCTTTTAGGAGCGAGTTCTCAAACAACACTTTTTTTTTATTTTTTATGGAAATCACAATGCAAAGGCTGCTGTGGGTAGGACTGGCAATGGCGGTTGTATCGGCGGGTCAGTATTGCGAAGAAGACCGAGCCAACTACTCCGTCTTCTACGACATTGGCGTGGAAGGGGAGGCAACGCTTTTTCCGTGCCTGCAGTGTTTTGCTATGCCCTGTCAGG